TAGCTTTATAGGAGCCAATCTCCTTTTCAAGTTTTAAACAAACAAACAAAAACACAGTTAAGTAAAAAACAAACTTTTTCTCACAAAGTCACCCAACCCGCCAGCCACCATGGGTTGACCGTCTGCAGAAATTGAGTACAAAAGGGTCAGCTAAGCCCTCTGCACACTCAGGTCCTCTAAATCGGTGAGGGGCTGTGTGTTCATTCATTCATTATCTAACCTCATGATGGATCTTCAGGAGTGCTGTAAAGATGGATCTGAGAAGGTCATTCCTTCAGTGAGTTTCCCATCTCCAACATTATGTTCAAAGTTTCACATTTATAACAAATACCCTGGTTAAACCGTGCATTGGGCAAGTAATGTTAAGCCTTAGTTGTCCAAAAACCTAACTTACCCAGATGATCACATTCCTAAGGTGAGTAAGTAAAGAGGCTGAGGAGCAAGGTCATTAGGAGCAGGAGTTTCACCCCACATTGCTACTTGGTTGACCTTGAACAAGTCATTGCAAAGTCTCCATTTAGTGATGTGCAGCAGTCCTTCATAGAGCTGTTGTGAGTACAAGGCAGCAACACTGGAGCTCTGCAGCCAGAGTCCTGTGTGAATCCCGCTTTTACCATTCTGGGAGTTCTGTGCCTCTGGGCTAGTAGTTTAACCTTTTTGCTTTTTCTTTGACATTGAAATGTCTGTTAACACCTAATAATGTATTAAGCACTTACTGTGACCAGGATGTTGTATATTGGAGTATTGCAATGAAGTAAGGATATGTACAAAATGCCTGGCGGAGGCAGATATTCAGATAATATTTATTGTTATTTTTTTGAATTTAGAAAAGCATGAGGTTTTGCTGATTTTAAAAAGATACGTACATAGAAAGGAGTGGTATGCTTCATCCTGGCTAAATTTGCTATCCGTCCGTCTATTGTACTAATAAAAACATAGTGCCAGAAAAAAAAGTGCCAGAATGTAGGGTTAGCATTAGATTATGACTTCCCAAAGCTCTTTGCTGTTTCTGTTCAAAGTACCAAGTTTTTTTCTTTCCTTTCAAAAGACAGTTATCTCTCTGAACTCTGCTTCCTGCAAGGTCATGAGTTTGACTTGGAGAGCAGGAGGAAGGGGTTCCCAGAAGCTGGGGCTAAGCATGGGAGCAGGGTACAGGGATAGTCCAAAAAGGCAGAGTGGGACCCAAAGATACAGTTGTGCGCTATAAGCTCTGAAGGGGGCAGGCAGGGAGGGGAGGACCTGATCAGAGGCAGAGGCTCTGCCAGTCAGTGCTGGTCAGGAGGGTGCCCAGTCCCAGTCCAGAGAGGCATTTGATGGTCTTGCCACTGGGTGTGGAGGGAACTGTTAGAATACCCAGCTAGTTCCACTAACATCTCATAATGTGATCAGTGAACATCATGAGGTTAAATTTAAAAATGTGTTTTCTTTAATGAACCATAAGCTAGTTATTACCTTGCTGGTTTGGGCATTTCAAACAATTGCTTCTTGAAAGTTTAATGCTCTGGTTCTGCACTATCTACTAAGATACCTTTCTTTTTTCTTTTGCTTTCTTAAAGAGGATTCAATTGAAAGTTTTTATATTTGCCATGAGTTCGGTAATAAAACAATGGAGAAAATATGGGGCATACAGTAGCACGTTTTGCTTGGCTATGGAATTTTAGTGTTTACTTTTTTATTAAACTTCCATTTTAATTTTACTAAAGTATTTTATTTATGCCCTGCCTGTTCAAGAAAGGATTTAAGATAACAAACAGATGAATAAATAAAATAGCATAAATGTTTAAAAGGGGGCACACAAAAAATTTAAAAGACCAGTGGGAATATTGCCGCTCTGTTACCGCTATTGTGACACAGGCAACATGCAGACCCCACTCCCCTAAAGACGCTCGTAGCTTGAAGTGCCACCTCCTCTGAGACGAGAGCCTGATGGCTGGATCCTGTTTGGATCTTGGCCTGCATGCAATGAGTGCACAGTGTTCCCTCCCTGGTTTGCAGGAGCCAGAACATTCCTCAGTAGTAAAATGCCAACAGACATCAACCGCAAGGAGTCTGCACAAGTGGGCAGGATGTAACAGATGGACACGGACAAGAGAAAGTATAAGGTCAGGCTTTTAGGGAAAATAAGCCAAGCTCTGGATGTGAAGATGGGATCCGAACCATTAATTTTGACCCAGAAAGGAATTTGAGCTCATTTCTCTAAGATGTTGGCCTTTTTTTTTTTTAACTGTTGTGTCTCAAGGGCACCAAATAAACATATGGACGTGACCAGGAAGAGAAATGAAAACAAAATTGTACAATGATAGGAAAATATTTCCTAAGCCCTTGGAATGACCTCTGATCAGGAATCAGAATTTCTGCAGGTTTGGCCCATCCATGCTCGCACACTATGGTCAGCAGAGACATGCACTGGAGGACAGGAGTCACCCTCTGCCCCATAAACCTTAAAGGTCACGTGGGCCCTGCTTTTTTCTTTTTTAGTGTTTAGAGTTCTGTCTTCACTGATTGCCTCTTTTTTTTGAATCCTCACCTGAGGACATGTTCATTGATTTTTAGAGAGTGGGTAAGGGAGAGAGAGAAAGAAACATTGATGTGAGAGAGAAACATCGATTAGTAGCCTCCTGCACACCCGCCCCCAATGAGCCCGGAAATCGAACCCGCAGCCTTTCGGAATACAGGACGATGCTTCAGCCATTTGAGCCACACCAGCCAGGGCAGTCTCATACTTTTTTGAACTTATATTGCCTTTGGGGGTTAATGCATTCTGTAAATTTTGTAAGTTTTTTCCTTCTGAGTAGAACTTAAGGTTCAAAGGTTATTCCTAGTTGTACAAAGTTGGAATTGTTTGATCAGCCTTCTTCTTGCTTCTCTGACTTACTCGTGATGAGATTGTTTCTCGCTTAAGCCACCTCTCCAAAGTGAAGAGTCTGAAAATGGCCTTAGGAGGCCAACTTCCAGTAATAATATTTGTAGGAGTCAATGTTTCAGAGGCATCAGATTAATATTTGTGAACGTTTGCTTTTGTCTGTTAAAGAGAGCTGAATTTTTGCCATCCACCTGGGTCAGCCTCACCGGAACTTCTGTTCTACTTGAGAAGCTCCTTACAGAGATGGGTCAGGCAGAGTGAGCTGGTTCCGTCTGCGCCATGCCCGACGAGAGGCGAGGCCACCTCCATTGTTGGGGTGTGTCACAGTTTGTGCTGGAGCCCATGTATGGAAGCTTATTTGGCAGCCCCTCCGAAGATGTTCCGCGTGTCTGTGAAAAGGGTGAAGCTGCCTTGATCAGGGAAAGTGGCATTGGAATATGGCAGGGCCTCGTCTGCGTGTGGTTTTGTTATGCGAAGTTTCAGACTGGTGGGAACCTTTACAAAATGAAGGAGGAAATTTGTCCAAGTCCAACTCAGTGGTTGCGTTTTAGTGCCTGATAAGTGGGTGGCCTCGTCTTTTAGTATAATCAATATCTGCTCAGTGACACCAGATAATCTTGAACATGCTATCTCTTCATGAAACAGCTCTTACTCAGCACAAAGTACCCATGCTCTCTAGGTGGTAATTAGCACTGAAATCTGTTTTTTCCTTTAAATTGTATGAGTACCAAGTATCATAAAAAAAATTACGTGTTTTTATTAGCTGGTGCAGTTTATTTCAGTCAGATTGTTGTGGAACATATGGACAGTAATGAATCTTCAATTGTGGTAATTAGGCAAATGTCCCAAAATCCAGTCGAATATAGTTTGTGGAGACTTAGTTGCTGAAATGCAGCAGTGTAGACACAGCTGGAAGTTTGAGCTTGAAATTACAGGTTTTGGCAACAAAAATCCTGGTGGCCTTACTATTCCTAAAGTGAATGTCAGTATGAGGTATTTATTATTAAGTTGTTGCTAACATGCTCTTCAAAGTGTTGGATGAAATCCCATCATTGTGGTAGTTGTCAGTGCTGTCCACCAAACATAATTGGTCCTTTGCTTATCCAGCACATGTAGGACTGTACTGCCTGGTCCCCTAGTGGTTGCATGGGGCCCTGTGACTAGTTTAGCCAGTGATGTGAGTGGAAGTACTATGTGTCTCTCTCTCGGGCTGAGGGAGGCATTTAAATGCCAGTGTGAGCCCAACAGTCTCATGCTCTTCCCTCTGCCTCGGTGATGACAGTGGTTCCAAAGGGTGGCTGTTCTGTCAGCCTGGGACCTGAGGACATTGCCAAGCACATCACTTGCTGACCTGAGATGGATGTGTGAAGTGAGGAAGAAATAAACCGTTGGAATTTGTGGATTGCTTGTTAGCACAGTATCCTGTAACCTGGGGATTCTCAAGCTTTTGAATGTCAGAACCCCGTTACAGTCTTAAATTATTGTGGACCCCAAAGAGCTTTGTTTATGTGGGTTATAGCTAATAGTATTTAATTAGAAACTACACTAGATAATTGATAAAATGTTGTAAAACAAGACAAAGTGTACTGCTTGTATGTCAGTATAATAAGCACAAAGAAGACTTAAGCATTTCAAGATAGCTATGTATTGAAAAGTAATGAATATATACAGATATATACAGATATCATTAGATATAACAAGAGATCACTAGTAAGTACACAGTAAAATAACTGAGAGCCAATTGAATTAATCTTTGAAAACTCTCATATTTATACCCTAAAATGACTGCCTTAGAAAGTTCTAGAAAACATAATACACCAGTACGCATTCCATTAGCCATCAGAACAATGATGTCATCACATATCATGTGGCCTCATGAGAAAATGAGGAAAAGGCAGAAATAGCTTAGTTTTATTACGGACATAGTTTTGACCTGTGGACCCCCTAAAAGGCTCACAGGGACTCCCACGGAGCCCCCCATCCATCTGGAGAAGCCAGACCTAGCCTGTCCTGCCCTGTACAGTCATGGTTCAGGCACTGGTATTCCTCACAATTGCAGCTTGCTCTGTTCAGTGGAGATGGGAAGTCAGAGCACAGTGCGGCATGCTCTTGGAATACATGTCATCTCATTGATTCCGGAGAGGGTCTCCTGCACTAAAATTCAAGTAAGAGAACATGGAGCAGCTTCTTCAGTTGCTTAATTATTTAAAGGACACAAATATGAGATTGGAGTCAAGAGACTTTTCCAAGCATGATGCCACAGCACAAAAGATACAGTTGATAACTTTGATTTTATAAAAATGAGAAGCTTCTGAGTTTGTTATAGGAAAAAACTAAAACTTAAAAAAATAAACAGAAAAGACTCAAAGGAACCTACAATATATTTGTTTGATAAAAGGTTCATGTTTCTAATATATAAAGAACTCTTGGAAATCAGAAAGAAGGATGAATACCCTAATAAGAAAACAATGCAAAGAGAACAGGTAAGTTATTTCTGAAGAAAAAATCTAAAATGCGAATAAATGTATGGAAAAAGCCCAGCCAGTGTGGCTCAGCGGTTTAGCATCGACCTAGGATCCAGGAGATCAGGGTTTGATTCCGGGTCAGGGCACATGCCCAGGTTGCGGGCTCGACCCCCAGCAGGGGCGTGCAGGAGACAGCCAACCAGTGACTCTCTCATCATTGATGTGTGTGTCTCTCTCTCCCTCCCTCTCCCTTCCTCTCGCTGAAATAAATAAAGATATACTTCATATATATGTGAATGTATATATATGGAAAAAGGTTCAGGTCACTAGTAAACAAGTGCAGTTTTTTTATTTAATGTCTGTTTTGTCTGATATTAGTATAGCCACCCCTGCTTTTTTTATGGTTCCTATTTGCAAGCAGTGTCTTTTTTCATCCATTCACTTTTAACCTATTTGTGTTTTTGGATCTAAAGCAGATCTCTGTAGACAGCATATAGTTGGGCATGTTTTTAAGTCTATTCTGCCAGAGTCTGCCTTTTGATTGAAGAATCTAATCTGTTGACATTTAAAGTAATCATTGATAAGATGGCCTTATTTCTGCCAGCTTGCTATTTGTCTTCTATGTACCTTATAGCTTTTATAACTATTTTCTTTGTGGTTACATTTAACTTACTCAAGTTATAACACTCTGATTTGAATTTATACCAGCTTAACTTCATTAATGTGCAGTTAAAACTCTACTCTGTCCCATCTCTTTCCGTTGTTGATGCTGGGATTTTGATTGGATTGCATTGACTCTACATCACTTTGGAAAAATTTGACCTCTTAAAAATATTGAATTTTCTGGTACATGAAGATGGTTTAACTCTCCATTCTTTCAGGTCTTCTAATTTCTGTCAGTGATGTCATGTAAGTTGTTTAATTTATCCCTAAGTAGTTTGCGTTTGTTGATGATACTCTAAATGGTGTTGTCTTTTTAAATTTCAGTTTTTTGTATGTGGAAATAAACTGCTGTTTGCATATTAACCCTATATCCCATGACTTTGCTAAAATCACTTAGTAGTTTTTCTTGTAGATTATGATTTTCTACATAGATGATGTCTACAAATACATTCTACTTTCCTTTCCAGTCTGTATGCCTTTTATTTCTTTTTTGTGCCTTATTACAGGAATTTCATTTTTATATTGCAAAGCTAATAATCCAACAATTTTAACAGACCACTAAGCTTGACAGGTCACAGAGGACCTTTTCACTGTGAGTTTATGATCTTTGTAGGTTGGATTTGTACTTACTTTTTATTGAAAATATAACCAGATGATTGAGACAAAGCTTTTCATACTTAAAACATGATACATCTCTTAATTTTATTTTAGAATTTTAGAAGTAAGTATGTAACTTCAGGTATCATTTTTAATGATAGCACATGTTTTGAAATGATACAGGTATTTTTATGATAATGAAAGAGTTTATCAATTAGGAAATATTGAACCAGTCACCTTAGCTATTCAGTTGTGATGAAATGCCCAATCTAACCTTTTATTGAATGTAATATTTATTAAAAATGAAACTTCTCATTTCTAATACTTAATCAATAGCACGTTAAGCCATTTATTACTGCGATTAAAGGCCTTGCAGACTAGATATTCTACTTCCTCGTCATCTAGTTTAATTTTATTTTTAATTTATTTTATTGAATTTATTGGGGTGACATTGGTTAATAAAATCATAGTATAGGTTTCAGGTGTACAATTCTATAATACATCATCTCTGTATTGTATTGTGTGTTCACCACCCCACGTCAAGTCTCCTATCACCATTTAGCCTCCCTTTATCTAGTTTAATTTTAACAATCAAGAAATAGCCATCTAACCCTGGTTTGTCAAATCTGTCTAATTTTGCATTTGTAACTTTTATGAGTTTGTGGAAAGAACTATTAAAATTTGCAGAAAAAAATAATTTGTAATGGCTCTTTACGAAAGTACAAGCCGCTTTTACATGTCTCATAATTAAACTTACCTGGAGAAGGTATATTTTATTTGCCATTAGATAACTATTGTTTATTTGCTTAAGACAATGGGATTTGGTGCAGGTGGTGTATTGGTAAGTGTGGCAAGAAATGTATTGCAGGGAAAGAAACCTATATTAGAAAAAAGAAAAAGGAACTGCGGGTGGGAATACTGAGGCCCATCTCTTCTGTGGAGTCTTGTGTTTTTACTGAAATAGAATTCACCTAGAGGACAGTGCACATGTCATAAGGATGCAGCTCAGTGAATTGTCACCAGCATGGACTGTGACATGAATGAACGTTCCTGTTACCCTTGCACCAAGGCGATTTCCTCTCCAAAGTGGTCCTGGTTCAGTGTGCATGCTGCCAAAGGAATATTGAAATTGAATTGTGATAAGAATGATAGCCAGAGTGATTGAATTTCTGTGTGCAAAGCATGGTTAAGCACTTGTACATGTGCTCTCTCATTTACTCCTCACAGTAAGTCTGGAAGAGAGGTTCTGTTGTCCACAGGTTCAAGATGAGAAAGCAAAGGGAGGGTTGTTTGTTTGTTTTAATCTTCACCCAAGAATATTTTTTTCATTGCTTTTCGGAGAAAGTAGAAGGGGGAGAGAGAGAGAAACATGGATGTGAGAGAGACCTATTTATCAGTTGCCTCCTGCTTGCGCCCCAGCCAGGGCCGGGGATCAAGCCTGCAGCTGAGGTAGTATGTGGCCTTGACCAGAATCAAATTTGAGACCCGCAGTCCGCCTGCAGGAGGCAGCCAATCAATGGTTCTCTCTCGTCGATGTTTCTTTCTCTCCCTCTCTCTCTAAAATCAATAAAAACATATTTTTTAAAAAAGAAAAATATAGTTTAAGGTTTTCCCTTTAACCTTGACTGACTGTCCCTGTGACCACTGTCCTTGTGGATCTGTGTTCTGGGACCTGATCGGAGAGCACTGTCCGTCCTCTGCATCCTCACCGGGGACCTGCTCCAGTTCCTGTGCCCAGATGGCTGGTTTTTTGGGTCCCTGTGGCATGTTGTCAGTGACCCAGAAATGTGCCCGTGTTGTCAGAATGGTGGAGTTGCCTCCCAAAATAAAATGTTTTCTCCTTGGCAAGTCATCTGGATAGAGCTGATCATTCAGCATCACCTCTGATAAACCAAAATGATCCCCGAGGCTGATGTAAAATCAGACATAATTTTCCCAAGAACAGACTTCAGGGGCCAGCCAGAGAGACTGTACAGTGTTCCTGGCCTCTGAGGAAGTCTTTCTGAGAACGTCTTGGTGGCTGTGAGGCAGGCAAAGTGGAATGTGGCCTTCTGTCGTCACTCCTTCCTCCTTCCCTCCTGTGTGGTTGAAACAGTGACTACTTTGGAGAATTGGCAAGCTGTACGTGTTGGGGAGGGGCCCTTTGGGTTAGGGGGCTTTTGTTTTAACTACAGCATAGTGAGGCAGTTTCATCTGCTTCGTGTAATGCCTTTCAGAGTTAGGGGTTGAATTAGATGTGTGTGTGTTGGTTTTACAATTTTATTTCTTTGTCTTTGACTTTCAAGGATGAATATTCATTGAGTTTCCTTTGGCAAGACACTGATTGAATGCATGGCATTTCTGTCTAGTGGTTTATAGTTGTTTTCTCTTTGAACAGATTCCCTGTGGAGAGCACCTTGCAGTGATTTACTTCAAATAACTTGGGGTAAAGAGTAAGCGGGCATCCATGACGTTTTTAGTTTAAGCCCAGAACCCACTGAACCAGTGTAGAGACAAGCTTTCATTCCTTCTGATAGCAGCGGTTCCCAGCGAAACACGGTTGCTATTGATGTACATAATTGATCACTGTATTAACTGCGGGAAAAAGAAAGCTTATTGGAGTAATAAGGCATAACTTCATTATGTCCTGTGTGAAGAGAGCAAGCACGCTGGAAAGTGGCCGACAGGTTCCCATTGCAGGGCTGACTGTGATGATGATATTTAAGTAGCATTGATCGCTTCCTCGCTGGCTCTCTTCTGTAGGCCTCTTCCGAAGAGCTGAAGGCTGCCTACCGGAGGCTGTGTATGCTCTACCACCCCGACAAGCACCGAGACCCGGAGCTCAAGGCGCAAGCGGAGCGACTCTTTACCCTCGTTCACCAGGCCTATGAAGGTCAGTGGCAGCCTTGGCTTCGCAGAAGTGCCCGGGAGCAGGCGTTCGATTTTTAAGAGACTTGATTTGTAGAGGATAGCAAGAGAGAGTCCTTAGAGGTGTATAAAAGAGGTGGTTAGTTTAGCCCTTTTTACTGACAGGGTCCTTTGAAACAGAAGTATTTTCTTTGGAAATCGATATGTGTCCGGTCAGTAGAAAATGAGAGCTCAGGTGAATCGCAGAGTGGGGGCTGAATTGCCGGGGAATACTCAATTTTTAAATCGTTGACTGGTTTTCTTCTACAGGGAACTCTTAGAGGTAAAAGGCTGATCGTTACGGACAAGCTTTCTTTGTTCTGTTGTGTTTTTTTTGTGAGACGATACAAGGACATTTTTTCATCAGAAAGTTATTTTATTGGCTCTGTAGCATTCAGTTAAGGAAAAGTTCTAACAAAAGAAAGAAAATGAAATCAAGAAGGCTAACAGGAAATAGAATTAAGTAGTTCAGACTTTCCTACTTAGATCTTATGTATTTCAGAGAGAATATTTCGTGATATATTTGTTTATAAAGTAATAAAGTCATTAATAATTTCCGTTTGTGATGATAAAGTTCTAGAAATGGTGATGGTTATATAACATTGTTCATGTACTTAATGCCACTGAACTGTGCTCTTAAAAATGACTAAAAGGATCAATTTTAAAGATACAAATTTTTAAAGTATTAAATCACTTTTAAGATGTATACCAAGTAAAATCAAGTTATTTATTGCAGAGCCATTTGGTGATTTGCTCCTTCATTAGACCAAAAATTAGGTAATGTGTTTTTTTACAAAATAAAGACTTCTTATTGTAGATATAAGACATACGCTGTACTTCACTTTATAGTTTTACCAAAAGTTAGATTTTAATGAGCAGTGAAACCAAGGCCATGGCTTATGATATGTGTGCAGTCAGCACTGTGTCTTGACCAAATCCAACTCTATTCAGGCACTGCCATGGTGGTCCTGACCACAGGACTGGTCCTTTTATTGGATGCTGTCATCTAAATGGCTGCATTCATTTTCCTGTTGTCTAAACTACCCACATAACTGGTTTATATTGTTCTGGAGATTTGGGGAAGAGTTAGCAGGAAAACCCTACCAGTGCTTGTGAAAATGCTAGAGCAGCAGTCCTGGCCCAGCGCTCAGCCTGGGGGGAGACTGACGTAAAACACTGAATAAATAGCCCTTGTTAAATCCCAGCGATTAACTCCAGAAGTTGGGCGCCCCTGTTTCCCGGTGGTCAGCAGTTCTTTCTTCCCCTATCCATTTGCATATGGATAGAATCGTTTACATCGTTTTTTAATTAGGCCTAAAAATATATGTGGAGTCTCCGGGGGCAAAGATTCAAAGGTTTCAGACAGGAATTGGCAAAGTAGAGGAGGAAGCTAATGACCGTTTGCTTGACCGGTGTTTAAATTGGGCTTGAATCTCCTTTAATAGCTCTCGGCCTTACTGAAAAATCTTTTCTGATGTACTTCAGGTGATGTAGCCATCATCAGAGTGACAGGTGTTTGTGTCTTTTAAAATGATTTACAAATTAAGAGGACAGGCGTAAAGGAAAAAACAGGCTGTCTTAGGAATTAGTGAGGCTCAGAGTAAAGAATAAAACAGATTTTTCTAGTATCCCTAGTTTTACATTACGCTTCTTTAGAAACTGGAATTAACTCTTTCAAGCCGAGGTACTTTATAGACTGTAGTAGAAACTTACTCTTTTTAAAACAACTGTCCTATGCCCAGCCGGGCGTGGCTCAGCAGTTGAGCGTCAACCTAGGATCCAGGAGATCGGGTGTTCTATTCCCGGTCAGGGCACATGCCCAGGTTGCGGGCTGCAGCCGATCAGTGACTCTCTCATCATTGATATTTCTATCTCTCTCTCCCCCTCTCCCTTCCTCTCTCTGAAATCAATAAAGATATATTTTAAAAAATAAAATATAAAATAACACAACTGTCCTGTAGTGATAGAAGGTGCACCTCACAATTCAGACCAGCTCGACACAAAAATCTGATGTTACTCATTTGTGGCCACCTTTAAACATGTCATAGGTTGGATCTGAAAAGCTATGAGGAGGAAAGATGCAAAGGGAATGAAGAGGGTCTGTCTCTAGGAAGATTGTGGTGGACAGTGTAAGGCCTGCCCAGGGATACTGTTGTCAGGACTGGACGGTGAATTCTGTGCTTTGTCAACATGTTTGATTTTTGTTTGCAGTGCTTAGTGACGCGCAGACCCGGGCCATCTATGACATATATGGGAAGAGAGGACTGGAAATGGAAGGATGGGAGGTAAGAGAGAGCGTGTTGCTGTCGCAGATGGGTCATTAAACACCTACAAACAGCCACTCCACACCCCCAACCTGGGATAACATCTGAGAGAATATTTGAAGACATTAGCATCCCCTCCTCACCTTGTATTTTGGTTTAAGAGGTTGAGTTCTGGGCTTGGGTAAGTCACTCATCCCACAAGTCCTCCATTTCCTAACCTGTCAAGGGAAGAGACCAGACCAGGGATTTTTAACCCATGGGAGCAAGCAGACCAGCGGGGGCCTGCAAGTGCGCAGTTCTGTCTCCACACACTCCTCTGCCTATCATGCGTCTGCGCCTCTCCCCACCTTGGCTATACCTGCGTCTAGGGAGTGTTTCTGTTCGTCAGGTGCTGAGCTTGTGAACAAAGTGGGAGCCAAGTTGAGAACTGCTGGATCAAGTTGTATATATTGACCCTTCCAGCTATGACATGCTATAATAGAATGCTGTCGAATGTGATGAGGGAAACAAAACAGTACACAGCAGGTGTCTGTGAAACCTGTTACCCTGGGCAGCCCACTGTGTAAGAAAAATTTCTAAAATTCAGAAGAGCCCATTTTCTGGTATTCTTGACTGGTCTTCGAGCCATGGGTGAGTCATTTCACTGCCTTCACTTCCATGTTATCGTCTAAAAGATGAAGATGAAGACTAGTTGTAAAACTCCAAATTGCTATAAGAACATATAGGTGCTGCTTAATTTCATTAAGGAAACCCAAGAAATTTTGGGTGGCTATTAACATTAAATTGACTACTGTTATTTTTTTATCATCATGTAAGATTTCCCTTGAAGTTCTTTGTTAGTTCATCTCAAGCCTGTGTGCCGTTCTCTTCTAATTCTAGCATGAAAACCTCCTAACCTCTTCCTGGTAAGGAGAAGACAAGCGAAACGGCTCTAGTCCCCTTGCCCACTATTGCCTCATATTGGTAGCTTGTGAGCCACATCCAGCCCCTAGCCATGTTTTGGTTGCCCACTTGATGAATTGTAGTTGCTAACATTTAAAACTTGGGAGGTTTGACATTAAAATCCAGTCTTCTTTCTTCTCTTTAAAAATCAGAAGATCTGGTAACACTGTATCTGAATTCCCGTGAGGCAACATTCAACTAAATCCAAGGCGCCCCTGCCCTGTAGTCTGGACCATGCTGTCCAGCTTGTCCCATCCCCACCACTCCTGGTGCTCTTACATCTGGCCTTCACTCATCCACACGCCCACCTGACTACGGTGGCATTTGGTGTCTGCCCTTTGGCTCAGTGGAAATGGTAGTGCTTCGTATGCATGAGGGCATCATAGCTTAGTGGTGCGTCTAATAGCTTAGCCTTCTTCATCCAAAAAGAAAAGAAAATCCTCTTATATATACTAAGTCTCTGCTCACACTTTATACACCACTTTAAAGTGCCCCCCCTTTTTTTGAAAATGTCGGTTGGTTGTAGTTTTTCGTGGCAGCTGTCAGGGCCACAGGAAAGCTGTAGGCCTGTCTTATTTGCCCCAACCCGGGGGTCTAGGTGTTTCATTCCCAGCAGCATTATGCCCACTAGTGGGTGACTTCTTCCTGGCAAAATACTGCGTGGTTTCCTATCTCCCCATTAGAAATGAAGCAAAACCACACTCACAGTAGCGATTATAACAACTCGTAGGCAGTCACAGATGGTGACTGGATAAGCTTCTATAGTCAAATTTTTTAGTAAACTGCTATAGGGAAATCGTGTTCTCATCAGTCTGAATTGGCTTTTTTCTGCATGGAAACTAAGCCTTCGCTGAAGATGGAAATGCCTTCAAGGAAGACTGTGAAGACACTTCCCTAGATATTTACTCAGAGGCATTCGTGCCTCACATACAATAGGAAAATGGAGCCCATTGTCCACACTGAACTCAAGTGTGTTTTGTGGAGCTGGCATCCTCCTCATGCCTTCAAGGACCTCCTCCAGCTGGCTGCGTGTTTAATGGGGAGATTCTCCACTTCATCAGAACATCCACCCCATTGCCCACAATCTGTTAGTCTAAACGCAGGGCCAGTCCGTGAAGGATGGAGGGCTCTTTTAACACCCCTGGCGCCAGAGATGCCAGGGCCCTCCACAGATGCAACAGCCCCCCCCACCCTGTCCCTGCTTGGGCTCACCCCATTCTGTTGATGGATGCTGGAGATTAAATGGAGCTTTTGTAGATCGCATAAAATATTGGCCCTGTTTTCAGGTGTGTTTTTTAACCTTCAGGAGACTGTCATTCTCTGGCAGAATTCTAAAGAAACAAGATGCAGCCCTTCCCAGCTTGTAAAACTGGCCATGTTAGTGCTTGAGGCTGGTCTGAGGTGTCTGTGCAAATACCCAGTTGAAAATGAAACCGGTCCCTTCTTCAGAGAGGCGAAACGCAGCTTTGAGCTATGAATGCTCTGATGGGGTAGAAGCTGGTAACAGCTGGCGGGTGGGGTGGAAGCCACGTGACTCAGGTGTTAGATGGCAGCTGAGCACCCCGGCCCAGACCCCCACAGGTAGTTGTTGTCTACAGTCCTTTCTCCATATTTCATTTCCCTGTGACTCAGACATCAATCTTACAAAGTCTAAGAAAGCCAGCCTGCATTAAGAGCTGTCATGTATTCAGTCAAGGTCATGAAAACAAAGACTTGGACACTCTCTCAGATTGCAGGGGACTAAGGAGGCACAATGACTGAATGCAGTCCTGGGTCCTGGATTGGATCCCGGAACTTAAAAGGAAAGTTAGTGGAAAAACTAGTGAAATCCAGACAGCCTGGGTAATGTGCTAATGTTGATTTCTTAGATTTGACAGCTCTTCCATGGTTATGTGAGGTGGTGACGAGAAGTTGGGGAAGGGCACACAAGAACTTTGTGCGATCTTTGCAGCTGTTCTCAGTTCTAAATAATCTTGCAAATTTATATGAAAGTTCACTGGCTAGAACAGAATTTCCAAAGCAGACGACACCTCATGTAATGTAATCCCCCTCATTTATAGTAGGGAACCGAAGCTCAGAGAACTGGAGTGACTTACCAGAAGTTGCCCAGGATGTCAGAGTAATGTCAGGGAGCCTGGTTTCTGTCCTCTCTCCAGTGTGCCACCTCATTTTCAGAAATCCCTGTTCTGATCTTGCACAAGGCAGTCAGTCTTCTGGCTAGCACAGGGATAGTCGGCAAACGGGCAGGGTGAGTAGTATAGGTGTGTAGATTCACGGGCTGCATTTGATACACCATTGATGAAGAGCATTGAACATGGCTGGCATTTACCACCTGTGATGCAGTGTAGGATCCTGTGTGCTTATACCTAAGGGTGGCCGAGGTGGAACAAAAGCGACTTGCCACTGGCTCAACCTCCTCCCATCCTCCGTCAGAGTGCTGTGGGTGAAGGTGGGCCTGCCCTGCAGAGTTCCTCATGCTCTGGAGGGCCAGCCACTTTGACTTTGCACCAACTATTTGCAGAACTTACGTTAAATACAACTAGAAATGGAATGACTTAAGACCTTTACAATATTCGCCTCTAACTTATCACGGAGTGTGGCAGAGAGAAAGTAATTTGAAGCTATTAATTCAGTCAGGCAGCTAGAGTTCCTGCAAGTAAATCTTGTTTGGCTCTGGCCTCTATGGGGCCTGACGCTTTTCAGTCTTAATTCTGGAATCTTAAGATTGTTTTGGGTTTTTTTTTTTAATCAGTATGGGGCACATTCATGGAGTCTGTGTTACTGGCCAATCAAACTTATCTCATCTTCATTCTTAATACTAGCATCCTGCTGACCAGAATATTCAGAATGAAACCTTTCATCCAGGTAGAACTGCCTGTGGCTGTGGGTCCTGTGGAGGAAGCACATCCTGCCCAGACCCACCTAGTCCTTAGCAATGAGTCACAGGTCATCATTGACAGGGGTCCAAATATATTGTGGTTCCACAGTCACAAGTCCACTGAACTGGAGTTTAAGAGGCACGAACAATTTTTAACAGATTTTAAATCATTTTTTCTTGGTCTTTCTTGATCTTCAAGGTAAAATGGAATAGTTGATTACATTTCCCTGAAGCTCTTATATTTTTATTTTCTTTTGATGATGGGAGAGGCTGACAGATTGAGAAGGTAATGCAAACTTTGTAAAACTGTACCTCAATTTTTGTCCAAGACAGGGTAACTGGGGACATGAACATGCCATGAATGGGTGCACGTGCCCTCACCGTTTGTAAAATCTAGCAGCGTGGGTGTACGGTCTCAACTAAGTACACCAAGCAACTGCTGTCACACCATTGAGGACTTGCAGTTTGTTCTTGGATGAGTGTAACTATTTTTATTTTAAAACTGCCTTTAAAAGAACTACCTTCCCATTTTTAGTAGTGATTTATTAGAGGAGAAAATGTTTTCTGTATTTTTTTTTCTGTGTACTTCCTGCAAGCAGTGGTGAATGAATTACTTGAAAGTATTTTTGGAAAGGCCAGTTTTTGTATTTATTTTTCTGTATTGCTGAATAGTAAAATCAAGTTGCACAAAAACCTATAATGTGATTCCATTGATGTTAAAATACGTGTACACACACATACATATGCCTAGAAGATTTTTAGGAGATACATAAAAAATTGTGTTAGCCTGTGAAAAGAGGGAGGGTAGTATAGGGGGAATTGTACTTTTAACTTTATATCTTTCTGTACTGCTTTGATTTTTTTGCTATAAACAGGTATTTTTAAAAATAATTTTTAAACTTATGATTTCCAAGATAGCTTTTTCTCACATCACCCACCTTTTTAGATGTTTGAGCAGCCTCTCAGGATTTCCCTGTGTTTATCCCACTGATACAGGGAATGTGCTGTTTGTTCTTTTTTCCCTCTGGTCTATCTAATGACTTCAGTCTAGTCTGTTCTGCTTCACTCTCTGTGCATCTCACAGGCCATAGGATTTGGGCCCCTTAGAAAGCACGTGATGCAGTTTCCTCTTTCACAGGTGTGACCCCTGAGGTCCACGGTGGCCTTTTTCTGCCTCTTTGAAATCTCAGCTAGATTGTTTTTCTTTCATGATAAGCTAAGAATGACCAAGGTGAGAGACCTTATTTTCTCGTATATGTGGCATCATTGTGCATCCCTGGGTATTAGTGTTAACGTTGTCTGCTATTTGGTACCTGAGTATTGTTTATACTGAAGTGTAACTGATACAGCCTGAGGTTCATATCATTGTAGGGGAAAGAGTCCCATAATTCAAAAAACACCCAGACCTGAGGGCTTAAGATTCCTTGGTCTAAGAAGCTGAAAGGGCATCTCCAGCGACAGCCCAGCTCACGGGGGAGCGGTGGCAGTGCTGTTGTGGACAGCTTTACCTTCATCTTGATATTTAAAACTTGTTATCTGGAACTCATTAGGAAATTTAAACTATGAGACTTAAGGTGATGTTTTCCTTGTAAGATTCCTGCAACCTCAGAGACAAGTTACTAAAATGAAAGAAATAGTGCTTAAGTCTCTTTGGAGACCATGACCTTGGGAGTGACTAGAGCACAGACTGAGTGGCTGTGCCAGTAAACCTCGCCTCCCCTTACCAGGTTCCTGGGGCATCTGGTGTAAAAACTCACCCCGGTTTCATTGACATCTGTTGAAGTCCTGGACAACATGTGCACACCAGGTTAACCACCCCAGTTGTGTGTGTATTTCCCTCTCTAACTGGGTCCTTGACTGTGCTCTCTCCCCTCGGTCTTCCATAGGTGGTGGAGAGGAGGAGAACTCCGGCTGAAATCAGAGAAGAGTTTGAGCGGCTGCAGAGAGAGCGGGAAGAGAGGAGACTGCAGCAGCGAACCAATCCCAAGGTGAGCCCATGGCCTGCCCGGGAGAGGCAAGGCTATAGTACCAGGAGGCAGGTCCACACCATTAGGTGCCTGTGGTGTAAAGTAGTAACATGCAAATTAAACCATATGGAGGGAGCACAAAACCAGTCCCGTGGTTCTCCCAGAAGCCAAGGAGACTCCTGAGCGGAAACACACGTTCCCTCTGAGACGTCTGTCTGGTCATCCTGCAGAAGCCTTGATGTATGGAAATCAGTTAGAGATCAGTGTCAGGAAAGGAAAGCCACCCAAGCACACACTGAGGCAACAGGATTCCTTGCACCAGTCAGGATACAGAGAGCCGGGTAACGCAGAGGGTTTGGGACATTGCCAGACTGCATTAAGCAGGGGCCTGTGCTCATCAGCCCGGGACAGTTGTGCCAGCACCAGTCACCAGGCTATTTCAGCAGTGATGAAGTGACCCTCTTTAACTCGATCAAGTCCCTAACGGAGTTTATGTCATGTAATCAGTGACATCCTGAGTCTGGGAGTTACTTTTCAGTCCTGCATATATCCTTTCCCTTTGATTTGTTGGGGAGGTAAATTGTTCTTGAGTGCATGCCCCAGCCCTGTGTTAAATAGGATATCTTGGTCAGTCTGAGGTGCCAGCTGTACTGAATGGCTAATTGAACATGGCCCAGTGTTCCTGTTCACCAGTGTTTAATCAGGGGACTCAGCAGCCGGACTCTGTCAGTGTGGCTGGGATGGCCTGGCAGGCAGCCTGAAAATCTTCTAAAGAAAAGAACAGCTGCTAGCTTACAACTGGGAAGCACAATAATACGAACTTCTGATCAAATACATTCTAGAAAGTAGAAGACCCCTGCAGCATTTAAAGGACTGAATATTTATTTATTTATTTAAAACATATCTTTATTGATTTCAGAGAGAGGAAAGGAGGGGGAGAGAGAGAGATAGAAACATCAATGATGAGAGAGTCATTGATCATCTGCCTAGCCCACAACCCAGGCATGTGCCCTGACCGGGAATCGAACCCCGATCTCCTAGATCCTAGGTCGATGCTCAACCGCTGAGCCATGCCTGGCCAGGCTAAAGGACTGGATATTTAGAAACCTCCCATCTATTTGAATCCTACGTTTCAGAGTATATTTGTACATTCCAACACCTCTCCTTCCCACCACCCTCCCCTTGGACAGATGATGGTGGCTTCAGCAGTGCACAGTTGCCTTTTGATCAGATGGAGGTAGAGAACTGAATCACTGATTGGACCAACTTGGGGAGTGCAAGATCATTAGGAGAGGAGAAAATCTCCGAGGCACCCTGAACTAGTGGGTTCCCTTCTTGGCTCTCCCAGCTGGTGCTGGGGATGCATCTAGTTTGAAAGGTCAGCAGTGCCAGATGGAGGTGAGGGTGAAGGAGATGGGAGGGAGCCTGGCCGGAGCAGGCCGTGGCTCTGATGTCTTTGCTGTTCTGGCTGGAGTTTTGCTGCATTTGGAGCAGTGAAGGGGAAACAGAACGTCCCAGTAGCCTGAGCCTGTGTCCTGTGATAAAATCAGCCATCTGGGTGTGCATAGTGATTGCCGGTTGGGATTCTGTGGAAATGTGTCTCCGGGCCATGTTCTGTGGAAGGAGGGAGTACAGCTGTGACCATTCCACACAAGCATGCAAGATACTGTAAAATCTCAGTACTTTGTATTTCCGTAAACTGCTTCCAAATACATAAGACATTTTCTAACCAGAAATACTGAGTGATAACCAGATGCTGGCTCTGCAGGTTTCGAGGAGAGGTTTTGAACTGGACCTTTTATCCCATCTTTGAGTGTTTTGCTTTTTAAGATGAGTGGAAAGGTTGAGAATGTTCTTATCCTAAGAAGAAAAGGGTGACGTCCTCTTTTAAGACCACAGGGAGAAGGACCACTTTGATGACCATTGAGCTCAGCACTGGCCTATCCCCCAGACCCCCAGTAAGGATCACAGCTCATGGGGGATCAGCAGACAAGATAACATTTGTGATACTGCCGTCTGAACCCAGGATAGATATTTCTCTCCATTCTCGTCAACAAGAGACTGTTGGCAGGAATTTTTAGTCGGATGTATGTGCCAAGAACTGGCAAAAAGGTCAAATGGGGAAAACCGTAGGTTAGAAATTCTGACTGGCACAGTGACACAGGACACAGAACAAATCATTTGACAGATGTGTAGTTTCCTCATTTATAAAATGAGGATATCTGTCCTGAGTACCACACAAGTTGTTAAATGGTTGAAAAAAATGGGAAGTAGATATGAAATTATTAGAGAAAGGCAAACCTGCTAAATAAATGCAGAGTAGTACTACACCCAGGTGAGGTTAAGAACTAAGTTTTGTTTTCCTTCAAGTTTTGTGTTTCATTCAACACTGCATGGGAAATACTCAGCTTGGTCAGGCAATTCCTTGGCTGGTGTGACTGGGTTTGGGTGGGGTCTTTGGCTAGCACTGTGGGACCCAGAAGGAATGAATGGAACCCCCAGCTCCAGTGTGTGGAACACACGCATGTGTGCACACGCATGCTGGAGGCAGTGAGGTAGAGCTTTCTGGACAGGTTCAGGTCCCGCCCTCCAGTTCTGTGCCCTGGGTCAGCCTCTTCTCCAGCCTTCCTCAGTTTCTCCCTGTGTGAAATGGGAGGTTTGCCATGAATCCCACTGTTTGGGATCAAAAGACCCCAAGTTCCAAAAATCCTTGTTTAAGTGCCTCTAATTTCTGCCTTTGCTGTGTGAGAATCAATTCCTCTGGAAAGGGGCCATCCGCACTGAGCCAGTGTAGGGGAGGGAATTGTGGCTGGACAGATAACGCAGCTCCTCTGCACCCTCCAGCACCGCCCGGAATCTGCTGGGACCACGTGCCGTCCTCCCTGAGTCTTGAAGACCTCTGTTTTGTTGGCACACTCCGTCTGCGCCTCTTGCCGTTTAGAGACTAAGATCGTACAGCAGGGTTGCGTGGTGCCATCTTCACTCACCGTGATTATTCAGTTCCTTCTTTGGTAACACCCATAAATCTTGTCTCACTGAGGGTGGCTGCCACTCTGAGTGTCTTTGAAATGAGGAAATTGCAGGCAGCCCTGTGGGATGTTGTTGCTGCCTTCTCAGTGAACTTGTCCAGAGCCTGCTTGAGGCAGAGCATGTAGCTGAGGATTGTTGGGGGGGTTGGTTGTCTGGCTCCAAGGGTATAGCCTGCTTCCTTTTTTGAGCCTGTTACATCGGTTTCATGGAGATTATCACTGTGTTTCCTGGACTGTCCCTTTATCCTCTCCCATTAAATAAGTTGACATAAACTCCCCGGCAAGGCTTCCTTTCTGATTTAGGAAGGCTGTCTTACCAGTGTGGTTCCTGTAATAGCTTAAAAACACAATTCAGCTTTATCAGAAAAAAAAATTAAATGATGTATCAAGGAAGACATAAAAACATTTTTAAATCCCACAATGTTCTCATAAAGATATATGAGTACATTACTCAATTATTTGTAAAGGATTTTTTAAAAGATCTGTTTTGGTTGCCATGGCTAATGATTATAGCCATCAGAATGAGCCTGTGGTTATGACTTCAGTCTGCTCCGTGGAAATGACTCTGATGTCATAAACTGACTCAACTTGGCTGACAGGATAATCATGCAGAAGAAAAGCTGTTTGAACCCATATGCTCATTGAGCTCGACGGCAGGAAGGGCCATTTACCGTATGCAGTGATGGGCTGCTTCTGAAACTGAAGAAATTGAGAAGTTGTCATATAAGGACAAGGATCTAGTCTGGGCAAGTGCTGTTACATAAAGCTAGTTTCTGCAGGAGAGCAGAGGTGGCTGGCTGTAGAAGGCACCGGGAAAGCTGTTTGAGCCTCATCCTGTCAGCATCATCACTTATAAGCAGGATGTCAGGATTAAAGACTGCTGTGCATACAGAGGGGAGATGTGGAGTGCCACTGGAGGGGCAGCAGCTGGGACCTGTCCTAAGAAGCCCTGTTAAGTTTGAGTTTGACCCTCCATAATACTGGGAACGCAGGTTCCGCCTTTCATCTCAGAATGAGTCCATGGAGCCGGTCTCTCAAGAGCCACCGTGGGTTCACCAGCTGTAATAAAGTGAGCAAGTTTCACATCGCCTCTTAACGTAATTGCCTCTCTTGGTGGAATTTTCAATTAGTAAATTGCTACTCTTGGAATTGCATTTGACAGAAATCTCTCACATTATCCTTATGGCCAGATAACAAAACATAAACATGGAAATGATTCAGAATGTAATATTCCTGGCTGAAGAACAACTGATTCTACTCCAAGAGGGGTGATTAACGCATCATTTCCAACCTGGTCAGGAGCTCCTCATCCCAGGAGAAGGGCTCTAAGTTGGCATGCTCAGAATTTCTGAGTGATGTCAGTGAAGATGTGTTTGTCACGTTGACAGGTGACCCAAGGTAGAAGGGCAAAAACAGGATCCTAAGGTCCCCGTGAACTAGAATGAAAGGGATAAATAAATGGGAAGAGGGGAGGCAGGAAGCGGTGGTCTTCAATTGACTCGCTGGCTTTAGGTCAGCAACAAGGGAGGAGCTGGCAGGAAGATGACTGGCTCCATACAAGGAACATCAGCCAGGAGGGCTGGTGGGGATTCGTGGAAACGGCGCTTTCATCTACCGTCTTGCTGACAGATTTTCAGTAGTATCATCACTGCACGTAAAGGACTGTACGGCACTTGTCGTTACTGTTCTATGTGAGCGCAGAATTTGGTGCCTTAGAACAAGGGCACCACCTGTGACCTGCCACCTTTGTTTGTCCAGCCCCTGAGCTGAGAATGGTTCTTCCTGCATTTTTAATGGTTTTTACAAAATCAAAAGGAGAATAATATTTTTGTGACACCCAAAAATGATATGAAACTCAAATTCCCACATCCATAAAGTTTTGGGTTTTATTTTTATTTTTTTAACCCTCACCCAAGGGGTGAGGATGTTTTTTCCATTGATTTTTAGAGAGTGGAAGGGATGGGGAAGGGAGTGAAGGGAGAGGGAGAGGGA